AGTAGAGTTTGATTGGCATGAGGCTGCTCCATGTGCACCAGCTGTTCTATCCTGTTCTAGATCATACCAACCAAACGCACCCTTAGAAGGCATTCAGAATAAACTTAAAATATAATATGATGTAAACATGATTAAGAAACATGCAGAAGATTATGTGAAAGCGGATACAAATGAAAGTATCACAAAACTTGTTGCTTTTCGTTGCTATTAAATAACCCCATGTGTCTCCATCGGAATCAATCCTTCCACACCTGATGAGCTGTAGTTTTTTTCTCTTTTCCTAAATCTTTGTGCAGCTGTTAAATGTAATGTACCTGCAATTACTAATGGTAAACCTACCAAGGCGGTAATTCCAGTCGGAGAAATGGCTGCCTATTCTTGCTCTCACAATCTTATCGCTGTGGGTAATGCCAGTTGCATGGCTGATGGAAAACTCTCCTCGATTCCTTACTGCGGTTGTAAGTCATGTTTGAAATACATCGCCACGTCGTCCCTACATCCCCTGTGTCTTGCTCTGTGTTTGTCTTCGCATATCTCTTGGTAGGGCTGTGTTCCTAGAAAAAAAACAAAAAAAACAAAAACAAAACAGAAGACATACGTAGTATATGCCAGAACACTTTTGGAGTTGACTCCCACGTGGGTGCACAGCATGCATACCTAGTTTAATTAATACCCTCGAAGCAGACATTCGGATGTTGGAAAGGCATAATAGTACTATGGAAATGGATGGAAATGTTTTTTGATAATAATCTGTTTTTGTTGCAAGAGCATTTTTGTGCAATGGACTTCTACAGTAGAGCCATGCGAGGATATCATTTTTTCTCCTTTTCAAAACCCGCTTTCACTGATTTAAAAAGCGGAAACTAAGTTTTCGGGTTCGGGCACGCCACCTGGTTGTCCACACGTTTAATCCAGAGTGAAACTGTAGCACATTACGGCTTGCATTTGAACGTCGCCATGGCAAAATAAACAATTGCACCAGGTTATCACGTGCCTTGCTGGAATATCTTCAAGCATTGTATGGCTCCGATAAAGCCAACAGTAGCTCAAGTACTAATGGACTGGATATGTCACAGTAGATTTCTTTGCTTGCGCTCTTCGAGCTTTTCATCCTGTGCATCAGCCAGTCTCCGAAACCCAGTATCTTATCAATTACAGGCAAACTTCTCACTGCTCAAGTGCTAATGTGTTGGGGATTGAACTACGAAGATGATTTGTATTTGAAAACGATTACATCATTATATCTGCTTCTCTATGTGCGGCTACCCAGATTCGTCATTGACCGGATACAGCTACTGTTCTGAAGTTGGTGCAGTCCTGCAGCGAACACACGATAACAAGCTTTTCAACTTTACAGTCGCCCAGGAAATATGCAGACTACAAAATGGCAGTTTACTAAGTCCGAAAGCGTTCGACTCGAGATGCACGCGAACATTGCTCGGTGATACCCGCATTGCCTGGATCAACCAGTTTGAGGCTGGAAAAAACGAAACGATTGCGCTTGTCACGGGAGGACCAAGCAACAATGCTTCCACCCGTTTTGTGGAGACCCCATTATACGTCGTGTGCGAAATAGGTAAGTGAAGTACTCCAATCACTGACAGGTTTTACGACAATTCCAACATCGTCACGACACCACTCAATTTACGTTTCACCTGTAGAAATGGGGTCGCCATTTCTAAATGGTATTCTTACGTAATGTAACCCCAAAAAATACTTTAAAAGTCCAAAGATGTTCATAGCAGGATACACCCCTACTCTGCTTGGTGCTACCAATTGTGTTGCCATTTTGTGGCAATTACTTACTGTATTATGTTCTGGTTACGTTGATGGACAGTTAGTCGTAACATTTTCTCCTTCACCTTACTCACCGTGACTAAATTGCCTCACCACCTGAGTTCAACTTCATTCTTGTCTTACAGGAAATTCCAGACAGGCATCATCGCCTTAAATAGTAGCGGCACATGCTAAACTCCAAGCAAGACTACCTAATAAAAAGGTTTCAGATAAGACCTGCCCTCTTCCCATTCACTCTGCCGAGTGAATGGGAAGAGGGCGAGTCTGCTCTGAAACCTTTTTTTATGAATGAAGCTGCAGGAAGCCTCACCAGCTAAGACTACCTTAGTCGAAATAAGACAACACAGATAGAGAAGACAAAACATGACTGGGAGCATATGGCAAAAATCCTTGGCTCGTCACACAGCACACAATGCTCCGCCGAGATGTATCATAAAGAAGTTAAGGCAAGTTGCACCTGCTCTTTAAGCCATGCCAAGCCCGCACTCTCCATACATGACCAGTGAGTGAACGCACGGCATTCTGGTTGCCAGAAGAGCAAATTGCTGGAGGCTCTGGATGAGTCACCCGTGGAGGAGTCCAAGGCTTAAGATTTGGCCGCAACTTGTTCCTTACATCCCAACCTGAGGACCAATGACGACCAGAACGATTATTATCTTTTGGTTCTGAATCCTCCTGACCGCTGCTTGGGGCCGTTACTGACTGATTTTCTCCAGCACCCTCTCATTGACACTGTTATCCAATGGGACGTTCACGTCCAAGAGTAGTGCCCTATCATTCTGAACCAACGCCATGTCTTTTCTGTATAGCCTTCAGCACTCAATCTGTGTGGTTGGAATCTTACTGTTAGGCAATCCATGTTATTACTGCCATATTTCCCCGATAATAAGTCGCATCCCCAGTTTCAGGACATACTATTCTGATATAATGGCAATAAATAAGATAAATTGTGCACTCATAACAACAGCAAAAATGAAGACAGTCAAGTTCCATAACGTTTTCTTGTGACTGTCCTCAGTGGAACGCCGTCACATAAAAATGTAATAACCAAAACACACACTTATATACATGTAGCTAATATGGTTTCAGGTATAAATACAGCAGCTAACAAGTACAAAAAGCGAAGTTTGCACCTTTGCAATGTGTGAATATAGTGTATGTGAGAAAGGTAGAAAACATCCGCTGCCTATTTCTACACCTAGGACGGCTCACAATTCGGAAACAGAAACACCGACTACTTCCATGGAGAACGAGCAGACTATAGTGTGTGTGAGAAAGGTAGAAAACATCCGCTGCCTATTTCTACACCTAGCACGGCTCACAATTCGGAAACAGAAACACCGACTACTTCCATGGAGAACGAGCAGACTAATCTGGTTCCCCCCTCGGAAACCGGACCACGGCAAGGGAGGCCGCCGGACGGTCGCTCCTCGACAAACCATGTTGCTACAACGGTAAGAGCAGTAGGGGAACAACTTGAAAACAGAGCAGAACCGAGGAGAAGCAAGAGACTAGCAGAGGCACGACTGAGACAAGTGGAGAACACAAGGCAAGGAGACGCAGGAGGAAGCACAGGCACGGCACAGAACGAATCAAGGAGAGGGAAGCGGTGTCGCGAGGAGATGGAGACTGATGACGACGAATACGAGTGCGATGGGATGGACGGCGGCATTGGAATGGAGGTGGAGGATGAGAGTAGTGATGAGGAGGAGTTTGATGTTGACAAGAGGAAGTCTGCAGTGTACAAGCATTTGGTGTCCAGTCCAGAATGTCGTAAGGTGTTTGACGATTCCTGGTTTAGTGTTATTCGTAGCGCACGTTTCTTCAAGCAATTGCAGGTGTTGGAAGCTGTGTATATTCGTACTCGTGACCCTGTGCTATGTAAACAGAAAGAAAACGTTGTATCACTCACACTCTTCAAGTAATACACACGCACCATTACATTCATTCACACAGTATCACATTCATCTGCCACTACCTTTCTCACATACACTATATTCACACATTGCAAAGGTGCAAACTTCGCTTTTTGTACTTGTTAGCTGCTGTATTTCTACCTGAAACCATATTAGCTACATGTATATAAGTGTGTGTTTTAGTTATTACATTTTTATGTGACGGCGTTCCACTGATGACAGTCACAAGAAAACGTTATGGAACTTGACTTTCTTCATTTTTGCTGTTGTTATGAGTGCACAATTTATCTTATTTATTGCCATTTTACGACTATTGTCTCCTCGTCGATTGTTTAAATATTCTGATATAATTAGTCAATTCAGTTGTTAGTCATGCTCAATTGTAAGTAGCACCCCCCCCCCCTTTCCCTTGAATATTAATGTAAAAAGATGTGACTTATATTCGGAGAAAATACGGTTATTTAAACGTCGTGACTCTTTTCGGATTCAGCTCTTGCAGTAAGTTGTTTAAATGTGTTATTATTGTGTTTGTTCTTTTGCTAACAGCATGTTCCGATTCAGCTCATATCTTCAACATATCAGCGAGTGGCATTGTAACTTGTAAACCAGGTTATGAGTACCTTCATTCACACCATCCATGTGAACCCTGTACACGTACGTATCCTTGTTTGTTGGTGCTAAACTCACAACGTGCTTTTGGAAGCAAAATCAAATTCAATTACTCCATAAAGTATCCATTCAATCCGGGCGATCACCAGAGTGTTTATAATTGCGTGACCTGTTACCCTCCATCACGCGACTCAAATTATCATGTAACATGATCCCGTGTTTGCGGCGTCTGGATTGCAAAAAGACTGAGCATGAGTTGTGTAAGATTTTTTTCGTTTTGCCGCGTTTTTAGAGATTTTCTTGGAAAACTCGGTGGGAATTGTTGTTTGTACTACTGCTTGATTATTTTTAAAATGCATGATGCCAAGCAATATTCACTGTTGTCCTCATTCTGTGTACAGCTGTGCAATGCAATGTAACTGCTATTGCTAATGGTACTTCTGACAGGGCGGTCATAAACTTTGGAGAAAACGTTACCTATTCTTGTGCGGCGGATCAAGGGATTGTGGGCGATGCCACGCCAACTTGCCAGGCTGACAGACAACTATCCTCCATTCCTTACTGTGTGCAATGCCATGTACCTCCTATTGTCAATGGTACTTCTGACAAGGCGATCATAAAATATGGACAAAGTGTTACCTTTTCCTGCGGGGATCAAGGGATTGTGGGTGATGCCACGCCAAGGTGCCAGGCTGACAGACAACTATCCTCCATTCCTTACTGTGCCTGTGAGTGCAGATACATACTTTGTGATTTGTATACACGTTAGGATTCAAGCCGGCAGGAAACCCGCTAGTTCCTATGTGGGGAGTAACACACACTTCCCATTGTGATTTTAATTTACAATAATTATGATTACATTTTGTGGAAGTGTTTGTTGCTCCCTACATGCTAGCTCGCGGCTTTCCTGCCTACTTGAATTCTCACTTGACCTCTTCTTTGCAATATGATTTGTATAGGCATAATGATGTGTTACATATCTAGTGATTCAGTGAACGGGATTTTCGGTCTTTGACCATTTGCTGGTGAGCTGATCTACTCACCGCCGCACTGCTTTAGGAGCTGCATCTGCGACGTGATCCTTGAAGGGTGGTGGCGTTCCTATGGATGCGCAAAACTCGTTTCCAGCCGAGTATCACGCGAACCGTGATTTTTGGGAAAGAGGGAGGGATTGTTGTTGTTGTTGTTGTTGTTGTTGTTGTTATTCCCCATGTCAGTGAATTTCTGGTGTGTTTCTATTATATACAGTTGTCAATTGTACTGTACCTAATATCACCAATGGGCAGCAAGCCGTATCGGAAATATCTTTCCAGCAAACAGCTAACTATTCATGCAGTGCTCATCATGTGTTAGTTGGAGATGCACAGCCAACATGCCAGGCTAATCGCACGTTGACTTCCAGACCCATATGCAAAGGTGAGCAACGTCGCTTGATGGTTAATAACTGCCAGTGTGTGGTTTGGACGTTCGAACTTTTACGATGTGACGCGCAACTTTCGACACCTGCAAAGAGCTACGATCGTGACACAGCTTTTACTATCTTTTTGTTTGTTGCGCCATCCTTAAACACTACATGTGAAAAGTAAGCAGTGATTATAAAAAGTGAACCATACCTCTTGCTTGCTTCAGCTCGCCTATGTCTATTGCTTTATGAGCTAATAGTGTAACCTTTCATTTACTGTTTTCTAGCTGTGACCTGCCAGGTACCAACTATCAGCAACGGGACATCTAGCCAAACAGGGATGATCAGATATCAAGAATCGGTAACCTACACCTGCAATACTGGCTACACACTGAGTGGAGTGAACACATCAACATGTGCAGCTGATGGGACTATACTATCACCCAGTTGTCTAGGTGAGCAAAAGGATATCAATGTACTGATCTGCGCTCGATTCTCTTTTGTTTCTCTCCATAATATTTAGTTCACAGTGGTTGGCTACCACCTGGCTTCTCATAAATAGTGGCAGTCTAATTACGACGAGCCTGGTCCCGCAATCTGGATTCTTCTCAGTCGCGCCTCCGCTAGTCTCTGGCTTCTCCTCAGATCCGTTTTGCTTCCGTTTTCGTTCCGTTCTAATGGTGTGTGCCCGACGGTGGTAACAGAAAGGTTACCAGGAGAACGAAACAAAAATGGAAGCAAAACGGATCTGAGGAGAAGCCAGAGACTAGCAGAGGCACGACTGACAAGAATCGAGAAGGCGGGACCAGGAGAGGCAGGTGAAGGTACGGGCGCACCACGGTGCACTCTTCAAAGAGAAAGAAGCGGTGGCGTGAGGAGATGGGGATGGAGGGTGATGATGGGGATGAACAGGATGGTCAGGGAGGCAGCAAGGGTGAGAAGTCAAATGTCTAGTCGAGATTTAGCAAGGTCACATTCCATACGACAGCAAAGCAAGTATATTTTTTTATTTCAATGCACAAGTACACACGGGCTGCAAGCCCAATAACATGGAAGCAAATGTGATAATGGCGTAAATTTTGAAAAAAAGGTGGCCGAAGAAGGCGGACGGTGGCAAAGCAACAGGGAGGAAAATTCAAGAGCAAAATTAACAATTGCACAAATGTGAGAGTACCTGAGATCCAGGGTATCTGTATGTTAGTACATCTATTTTAGTATTTCGGTAACATTTGGACTGGGTACCTCCGCTAGGCTCAAAAGCAGAATCTCTTTGTCGATTTGACAGGTGACAATGATTTCGTACAGGAAACCAGTGTTTTGAGCTTAGGTTCACTTATTGTTATTCCCCATGTCAGTGAATTTCTGGTGTGTTTCTATTATATACAGCTGTCAATTGTACTGTACCTAATATCACAAATGGGCAGCAAGCTGTATCGGAAATATCTTTCCAGCAAACAGCTAACTATTCATGCAGTGCTCATCATGTGTTAGTTGGAGATGCACAGCCAACATGCCAGGCTAATCGCACGTTGACTTCCAGACCCATATGCAAAGGTGAGCAACGTCGCTTGATGGTTAATAACTGCCAGTGTGTGGTTTGGACGTTCGAACTTTTACGATGTGACGTGCAACTTTCGACACCTGCAAAGAGCTACGATCGTGACACAGCTTTTACTATCTTTTTGTTTGTTGCGCCATCCTTAAACACTACATGTGAAAAGTAAGCAGTGATTATAAAAAGTGAACCATACTTCTTGCTTGCTTCAGCTCGCCTATGTCTATTGCTTTATGAGCTAATAGTGTAACATTTCATTTACTGTTTTCTAGCTGTGACCTGCCAGGTACCAACTATCAGCAACGGGACATCTAGCCAAACAGGGATGATCAGATATCAAGAATCGGTAACCTACACCTGCAATACTGGCTACACACTGAGTGGAGTGAACACATCAACATGTGCAGCTGATGGGACTATACTATCACCCAGTTGTCTAGGTGAGCAAAAGGATATCAATGTACTGATCTGCGCTCGATTCTCTTTTGTTTCTCTCCATAATATTTAGTTCACAGTGGTTGGCTACCACCTGACTTCTCATAAATAGTGGCAGTCTAATTACGACGAGCCTGGTCCCGCAATCTGGATTCTTCTCAGTCGCGCCTCCGCTAGTCTCTGGCTTCTCCTCAGATCCGTTTTGCTTCCGTTTTCGTTCCGTTCTAATGGTGTGTGCCCGACGGTGGTAACAGAAAGGTTACCAGGAGAACGAAACAAAAATGGAAGCAAAACGGATCTGAGGAGAAGCCAGAGACTAGCCGAGGCACGACTGACAAGAATCGAGAAGGCGGGACCAGGAGAGGCAGGTGAAGGTACGGGCGCACCACGGTGCACTCTTCAAAGAGAAAGAAGCGGTGGCGTGAGGAGATGGGGATGGAGGGTGATGATGGGGATGAACAGGATGGTCAGGGAGGCAGCAAGGGTGAGAAGTCAAATGTCTAGTCGAGATTTAGCAAGGTCACATTCCATACGACAGCAAAGCAAGTATATTTTTTTATTTCAATGCACAAGTACACACGGGCTGCAAGCCCAATAACATGGAAGCAAATGTGATAATGGCGTAAATTTTGAAAAAAAGGTGGCCGAAGAAGGCGGACGGTGGCAAAGCAACAGGGAGGAAAATTCAAGAGCAAAATTAACAATTGCACAAATGTGAGAGTACCTGAGATCCAGGGTATCTGTATGTTAGTACATCTATTTTAGTATTTCGGTAACATTTGGACTGGGTACCTCCGCTAGGCTCAAAAGCAGAATCTCTTTGTCGATTTGACAGGTGACAATGATTTCGTACAGGAAACCAGTGTTTTGAGCTTAGGTTCACTTATTGTTATTCCCCATGTCAGTGAATTTCTGGTGTGTTTCTATTATATACAGCTGTCAATTGTACTGTACCTAATATCACAAATGGGCAGCAAGCTGTATCGGAAATATCTTTCCAGCAAACAGCTAACTATTCATGCAGTGCTCATCATGTGTTAGTTGGAGATGCACAGCCAACATGCCAGGCTAATCGCACGTTGACTTCAACACCCATATGCAAAGGTGAGCAACGTGTACATTGCTGAAGTTGAAATTTCTCCCGCTACAGGAATCTTGAGGCTGCTACTGCAGCTAACAACAGCCATTTTCTTGTTGCAGCTGTTTCAAGTCACGTGCTGGGTCGCAAAAGTGGTATTGTGAACTGGCCTTTCGCAATTTGAGATATCGGACAGATTAGTGAGGCTCTGCTCCAGGTTTCGGGGTTGCGACGCGAAGAATCTCCGGACCTCTCTTCGCGTTTCCGTGATGCAAAGAACATCTGTTCTGCTTTACGTCACGTACAGACAGCACGTGAAATGTGTACTGGGAATTTCTCCTTCCATATTTGGTATTTGATCGATGCCCAGCAGGTCTGTACGCTTTTCTCTGCATGTGCCAAAATGTAGACATCATCTACAAAAGTAGAAATCTGGACTCAAAACACGCGAAGGTGTAGACTCTAGCCCAGACTCCTAAAAATGTGAACCATACAGCTTGCTTTAGAGTGCCTAGGTCTATTGCTTTATGAGCTATTAGTACTTGGTCCGCGTCAGCAATAACAGATCCTCCAGAGCAGTGTGTTGCACCGGTTAATCGAACCCTGGTCCTGGTCGGAGAACAGCCGCGCTTCATCAATGTCAGCTGCCAGTGTGCTGCCGTTCCTCTGCCTACCTATGCCCGGTCGGAGCTTCTGGAATTCGCCACGGACGGTGCAGTGTCGAGCGTGACAGGGGTCGCCGATGTCTACACCATTCCCGTACAGTTTAGCAGTATCGGCCGCTACACTTGCGAGGCAGGCAATGTCGTCTCCGCGCCCAACCATTTCTTTTCCAGCTTCTACGTCAACGTCGTGGGTGAGTACGGGTCCGCTTTTCTAATAAGTCTATTGTGCATGTAGGTAGCCAACTTGGCATGGTCGTCTGGGGTGTTGAACAGTGCATTGCTGATCACATCATACATTGCTCATACCTTCCATATTTGAAGATGAGAAATGGGCCTATTTTTTGGTGCTTGCTGGTGTGCCAATGGATGTTGTTTGAATTCTTTTATTCTCACGATGGCCTGTGGCCAATAAGAGAAAAATAATTACAGGCACGGGGATCAGATACAGAGAGATCAAAGTTTAGCTGCTTGCTGAGGCAGTAGCGATGGTAATACTAATTGGGAGTTAATCACGTAGGCTGGGCGCAATGGAGCTATAGATGTGCTGAGCAATGTGAGCAAGTACATACGGAAGAGATGACAAGTGGTAGGATGTTTGCTTTGAAATCTCGTCTGGGGTTGATTTGCCGGATGCTGGGTGGGATGCTATTAAAGAGATCAAGAGAAGCATAGATGGGGGAGTCTCTTAGCCGGTTTGTACGTGTTGTGGGTAGCTCAAAGGTTCGGGGGAACCTGAGCGTGCGAATGGGTTGTATTCGGGGTAGGTGAATTGCAAGAAGGTGTGGTGGTGCATATCTATGATGCAGGCTGTGTGCAAGAAGGATATGGGAGAGGGTACGGCGGCTGCTGAGTGATGGCCATTTGAGTCGGTGCAGCAGCACGGAGTGGGTTCTGTGTTCAAAGAGGGGGAGATGCAAACAGAGGCGAGCAGCGCGCCGTTGGATGCGCTCAAGCCGGTCGTTCAGGGTTGCGGGGAGGGGTGAGAGGACAGTGCAAGCATACTCAAGAATAGGGCGAATGTAGGTTAGATAGATGGAGGAGAGAGCAGAAGTGTTTAAGGAATTGCGTAGTCGCAGGAGAAGGAACATCTTCCTGGTCGCTTTAGTGATGATGTAGTCAACATGCGAGTTCCAGCATAGATTCTGCTGTATGAGGAGGCCAAGGTGGCGATGCCTTGAGGCCACAGTGAGGTTGGTATCGTTAAGTGTGATTGATGGTGGTCTGGGAGGTGGCCGGTTGGTGTGGTGAAAGTGGATGACAGTGGTCTTACTTTCGTTGACCAGGAGATGCCAATCCTTCAGCCACTGTGCCGCGGTTGTCACAGCTGACTGGAGGTGCTCTTCTGCGGCTAGAAAATTCTCGTGAGCGGCAATGATGGCAGTGTCGTCGGCAAACTGGCTGCACTCAGTGTTGGCATTTATGCAGGCGGTTGGCAGATCAACTGTGTAGGCCGTGAACAAAAGCGGCCCCAAGACAGAGCCTTGGGGGACCCCCGCTGGAATGTTTAGCCATGTTGATTTGCTGCTCTCCACTTGCACACGTTGTCGTCTATTGGTGAGATAGGAGGCAAGCCACTGGAGGCATTTGCCATCGAGTCCGAGGTGGGCCAATTTTGCAAGCAGTCCTTGGTGCCACACCCGGTCAAACGCCTTAGAGAGGTCGAAGAAGCAAGCAATTACTGTTTGCCCGGCGTCTCTTTTCTCGGTGATCTGATGGATTAACCGAGATAGCTGCTGTGTGGTGCCATCGTTTGGCCGAAAGCCTGATTGGCCGTTGGGGAGGTGAGGTTGGATGTGCTTTGAGATGCGGTCAGCAACTATCCTCTCTTGTACTTTCGACGTCACGCTGAGTAGCGATATGGGTCGATAGTTGGAGGGCTCGGTTTTGCTGCCCTTCTTGTGGATGGGGGTGACTGTTGCGTCCCTCCACTCTTGCGGGATAGTGCAACGTTCGAAGGAGATGTTAAAAAGGGTTGCTAGGGACGGCGCAAGTGAACTGGCTGCCTCTTTCAGTAGGCGGGTTGGTATGCCATCACAGCCCGGGCTCTTTGACGGGTCCAGGTTAGACAGTAGCTTTGAGACCTCTTGGGCTGTTGTTTCAAGTGTAGTGAGGCCAGGTGTGTTGGGTGTGGGGGAATGAATGGAGGGAAGTTCCTCGTGGCATCCTGTGACTGACTGTTGGCTTTGCGAGATGAAGAAAGCGTTCAGGGCGGTTGCTTTTTCAGCGGGGGTTGAGAGAGTCTGGCCCTGGGAGAGCATGTCTGGCAGAGTAGGTCGTTGTGAGGACTGGAGGCCGCGCATCAGTTTGTGTAGGTTTGGTGTGGAGTGGCTCGTCCCAGTGCCATTACTGACATATGTAGACTTAGCGATTCGGAGAAGGTGAGTAACTTTGTTGCGTTGGGTGGTGTATGCTGTCCAGTTGCAGGGCGTCCGGGTGCGCAAGTAGGCACGGTAGAGCCGGTGTTTTTCTCTGATGGCGTTAGTGAGCTCTGGGTTCAGCCATGGCTTTGCGGGGTGGCTAGTATGCCTCGGGGAGTGAGGTACTGCACAGTGTTTGCGGGCGCAAGTGAGGACTTTGTCCTTCCATGAGTGCCACAGGTTGTCTATGTTGGTAGTGTTCAGGGTGTCACCTTCCGGTAGCAGTTGTGTGCGTTCAATTTCGGCTTTCAGACTGCTGATGCTTGGGTTTGACCATTTCCAATGGGTGGTGTTATGGGTGGGAGGTGGTACGGCTCGAGGGGGTGCAGCGACTGGCTTGATTAAACCCCTGATGGATAGGTGGTCCGAGTTGCCGATCTGCGGGAGACTAGAGATAAGGACATAGTCGCTGTCTACATCCGTGACGACGAGATCTAGGCAGGATTTAGGGTGCCCATTCTGCACAAGAGTGGGGAATGTGACATGTTGGTGTAGAGAGTAAGTTTGGAACAGCACTGCTAGATCCTCGCCAACAGCATCTGTCGTGTCAGAGTGGCACCAAGCGGCGTTCTTTGCATTAAAATCACCGAGGATAATCTTTTGCGTTGTTGTTGGTATGGCTCGTATCAGTTCCTCAAGGTGCTGGCAGAATAGCTGATGGTCGCAACGGGGTGGTCGGTAGACGCATGTTGTGTTGATGGTGCTGTCGTTGGCTGACAGTTTCAGCGATAATAGGTCAAAGCTGTCTGGGGTTGTTGTAGGGACGAGTTCATGAGGTATAGTGTCGTTCACGTAGAGAATCACTCCTCCACCTTGGCGGTCTGGGCGGTCTGCACGATGTAGTGTGTATCCACTGAGGGCAAACAGGGAGTCTGGATCGTGCTGGGTACACCATGTTTCAGAGACAGCAATGACATCATAAGGTGGCGTTGTTGACGATGCTATTGCTGACAGTTCGTCCATTTTGGGGTAGAGACTGCGAGCGTTGAAGGAGAAGAAAGAGATGCTATTTTGTTCATTTCCGTTTTTCATAATTTTTTTTTTTTTTTTTTTCACTGGTGGGACCTGGTGTTGATTATTCCAGTTCAGGCGTGGTCCATGGTGACTCCTGTAGGACTCTGGTCAGCTAGCTTATTTTGTTTTTGTTTTTTAGAGGCATGTGGATGTTGTGCGCCTGGGGGCGTCTGCTCTAGCTGGTGGCGTCTGCGTCTGCGACGTCCGGTGTAGAGTTTCCATTCTTCCTCCGCTGCATTGAGCTTCTGCAGGAGTTGTTCGGCGCGATTTCCATCTTCCTCAAATAGGTTGTTGTTGTTGTTGTTGTTGTTGTTGTTGTTGTTGTTGTTGTGTTTATTTTAATTCGCAAACCAAACGGGCAGATCTGCCCAATGAAAAGGTGGCGAATGCAGATAGAAAGCAGTAATAAATGAAATTGGGGACTGATGTAATTAGGATAGAGGTGGAGAAAAACTAAGCCAGCTGATCATCAAACCGGACGTTTGGTACTCTAGGTACTAAGGCCAGTAAGTGTGTGCGGGATCATGCTGGCGCGGAACTGGCGGAGCGTGGAGATGGCACGTACATCGCTGGGTAATGTGTTCCACAGCTGGGCGCCCCGGAACGCGAGGCAACCCTTGCCGAACCTGGTGGAAACTGGCGGTTGGCGCAGACCCATGGTGGAGTGCAACCTAGTTGGGCCAGCTGACGAAGGAACTAGGAGGGCTTGCAGTTCAGAACTTGCGTGCTCATTCCGAGACCTCCAGACCAGAACGATGAACTTCTGCCTGAATATCTCGGATACTCTGTAGGTGTCCAATTGCAGCAGGAGGGTACGCGCGGAGGTGTGATGCGAGAGTCCGAAAACCGCCCTTGCCGCCAGATTCTGCATGACTTGTAGCCGATCCAATTGGTTGGCAGTAAGAAGCGGGGAAAACGCATTGGTCTGGGATTGGGGGGGGGGGGGGATGTGGTACTGCTGCTGCTGCTGCTGCTGCTTTGGCCCATTTTTCTCATGCTGCACAATCCATTGGTAGCCTGATGCAATCAGGATATGAGGAGAGGCACACATAGCACAGGATTGCGTGACTTGCTACTCACAGAGGGCTTGTTGGTGCTGCTGCTCTTGCTGCTGCTGCTGTGGTGTTGTTGTTGGTGCTGCTGCTGCTGCTGTTGTTGTTGTTGTTGTTGTTGTTGTTGTTGGTGTTGGTGTTGGTGTTGGTGTTGTTGGTGTTGTTGGTGTTGTTGGTGTTGTTGTTGTTGTTGTTGTTGTTGTTGTTGTTGTTGTTGTTGTTGTTGTTGTTGTTGTTGTTGGTGTTATGCTAGTGCCATTGTTTACCCAAGATCTCCTGACTGCTCTTGAGAAATATTGCCGTTGCCTTCTTGCCATTATGCTGTGTGTTCTGCTTTATTAGCCTTGCCACGTGTGGCCCTGAGCAGCAACAACGTGACTGCCAACAGTACACTGGATGTGGTATGCACCGTTTACAGCCGACCCAAGCTTGACAGCCTGGTGTGGCGCTACGGCAATGGGAGCGTGATCACCGAGGGCGGTCGCATCAGCCTGGACAGGGGCAACGCGTCCGACGCCATTCCCGGCTTTAGTGGATACGAGCAGAACTACACGCTGAGCATTTCCAATGTAACCGTAGCCGACCGACTTGACACGTACCTGTGCGAGGCCAGCAATGGAGTGCCGTACTCTCAAGAAGGAACTGACTACGTAGGTGACAGCCAGTACACCTCCACCGCCATACTCACCATCAACGTGCAAAGTAAGACACTGCCGCTACTCTGTATTCTGCTACATGCTTTCTGCTTTTCCCACTGCCTTTATTCATCTTCATTTCATGATTGCTACTGTTTGACTCTCTGTTCTCATAATGATGATTTGAAGAAGAAAGAAAGAGGAGGGCAAGAATGAAACGGGAATATGTGGAGGTTACGAGGAGGTAGATGAAAGGCTAACACGTGGAGAAGGAAGGCTTTCCTCCCATTTGGAACAGGTGTTGAATGGAGGGATGGCTGGCTGCTTGGCTGAACATTGTTGCCTTTATTGACCGCATGGTGCTCCAGTTGTTCATTCTCTCTGTATTGACATTGGTTGTTCTGTTGTGTTCTGCAGCGAGCGCT